CCCAGATTGGGGAGCAGACAAACTGTGGAGGAAAAGAAAGCATGAGAGAAAGTTGCAGTTCACCAGGAACATTCTTAATTGTTATAGGCCAGTTTCTTCCAGAAGTAGTTGTGCAAGAATAGAAATCCCTTGTCATTGTTTCTAGAAAGAGTTTGAACATCTGTCCTAAAAATGATCACATCCCTGCCAAAACAGAATAATATGTCTATAAGCAAAAGCAGCTTGTGGACAAAGTGCATACAACCTACAGTGCAGGAAGAGATCTAGGCTTCTCGAATGAACTGTAAGGAAAGAGCAGGCTTTTGTTGGTTTGTTTGTTTTAATTTCCCAACTGTTATGCTCTGATATTTTTGTAAGATGGAATAAAAAGTGAATTGCTAGGAAATGAATTAGACACCCCAAGTCCCTATAAAAACACAAGTCCAAATGTTTTTATTTTTCAATAAAAATTGAAAATAGACTAGATTCAGCAGACATAGAATTATTGTCAAATTGCTATAATCTTTCTAAATGCTCTGAATTGCTATATCTTAACATTTCATCATGAAACACTTTAGAGATCAGCTTCAGTTCACAGACTACACATGAATACTCACAGTCATTCTTCCTCCACTTGGAAATGTTCATGTTTTACACCATCTCTATGAATCTCTCTGCAAACCTAGAACCAGGGTTAGTTACACAATTTGCAGGGCTCAGTGCAAAATAAAAATGCAGGGCCCCTTTTCACAAAGCAGAGAAAAAAGTGACGTTGAAGGCACTAAAACATGAAACTTGTTCTTGTCTTCCATGATCTCTCTCTTTACTTGCCGTTACGCTATTTGCTATTAAATGTCATTCTAAGTAAGGAAAAATAAAAATTTTTGATTATCAACATCAATTCAACCATTCATCCTTATGTTGTGCAATACCAACTTTAAATTCAAATATAAAAGCATTTAATCATATGCAGAATTACCAAAATAACATATTTTATATTTCACAGCTCAAACATACATGTCTTCTTACTTTGCACAAAAGAAACACAACTGTTTTCATTTCACTTTTTATGCAGATATATTCTGTTATCACTTTCTAGCCTACCTTTGGCTTAGTGGTGATAGGTAAAGAAGCACTAAACTAAAAAAAAAGGAATTATGGGTTGCCGTGTCATTCCCTTTTCCTCTATGTCATTGTTTTCACCGTAAGTAGAGTGTAAAGAAGTAACTCAGGTAAGGGTATGATAGAGTTTGCTAGTCATTAATGTTTCTTAGAATATTATTCTCTTCTTCTGTGTTTGAAGCATTTCTGGCTCGGATGAAAACCAGAAGGAAACCTCTCATGGCTGTCAGCGTCCTTGCTTACTCAGTCATAGATGTAACACGCTGATCTTGTATTTGCTTTGAACTTCTACACATCATGAGTCCACTGTAATTCTGTGCTCATGGGGCACTGCAAACACTAGACATAAATGAGATGTCAAGAAACAGCAGACACACATATTGTGCGTACCTTCTCTGCTTAGGCTCATGCTCCATTGTCCCATCACACTTCACCTACAAAACACACAATGCCAACAGCAGAGCATACACCAAGCTCAGGGCTCTTATGAGCATGAGACCCTTGCATGGCTTTGCAGGTCACACTCCTATAGCATTTTGTCAACAGCTTTCTTATGGAACATTATCAGGGTTTCTGTTCTGTGTGGTTCAACTCTGAATATCATTTTTGAGGGTTTCAATCATGTCTTCTTGATCCCTGTTTCAGCTTGGTCTTGTACCTTGTCTTCTGGCAGGTCCTTCATGCCTCTGCCATGGTAAGCTTTCTATACAAAAACTTCATTACACTACTCTTTGTCTTAAAATTCTTTCAGAGTTCCAGTTGCCTTAAGGACAGAGTTAAATCTTTTAACTAAGATGCTACAGACTTTCTTAATCTGGTCCATTCCCTTTTCTCTAGCCTCATCACCAATGATGCTTCTATATATATGCAACTTATAATCTAGGCAGAGTCCTTTCCATGGACCTTCCTGCCACCTTGAACATGTGGTTTCCTCTGCCTGAGAAACCTTTTCTCATTTTTCTGTTCCCCTCCACTACCCCATGGCATGTCCTCTGGATAGCACGTACTGAGTCTTCAAGATTCAGTTTTTGTAGCATATTATCTTGAGTCTTTCCTAATATCCAGGCTGGTATGGAAATCCTCCTTCATACTTCTCTGTACCCCCCACTGTGTGCATTGTATTAGTCTGTTCTCAACACTGCTAATAAAGACGTACCTGAGACTGAGTAATTTATAAAGGAAAAAGGTTTAGTGGGCTCACAGTTTCACATGGCTGGGAAGGCCTACAATCATGGCAGAGGACGAAGGAAGAGCAAAGACATGTCTTACATGGCAACAGGCAAGAGGGCATGTGCAGGGGAACTTCCCTTTATGAAACCATCAGATCTCATGAGACTTATTCACTGTCATGAGAACAGCATGGGAAAAATGTGCCCCCATAGTTCAATTACCTCCCATAGGGTCCCTCCTGTGACACATGGGGATTATTACAATTCAAGGTGAGATTTGGGTGGGGACACAGAGCCAAATCATGTCAGCCATAGTCCAGGATTTGCTTGCTCTCCAAAAGTAGAGGCTGTGTATCCTCAGGGCCCTTCCTCAAACTTGACACTTGGGAGATGCTTAAGACATCATCCAAGTGTTAGGATGTGGCCTTATGTTGCTTAAGACAAACGTTTGGTTAAATGTTTCTTTAACCAGATAAATGAACAATCAGTATTCTGTACTGATTTGAACTATGTTTAAATCCTCCCTTGGGACATATTTCAATGTTAGGGAGGAAATCTTATCTCTCTATGTTCTAACTAAAAAGAGTTTCCACAGTTATTTGTGCAAGGGATGTGTGTGTTTATGTAATTACTAGTGCTAACTTTTCACCTTTATTGGTCAGAATATGTTTTCATCTTCAACTTTTTGTCCTTGCCAAAATGCTTCTATGGGTTTCTAAGAGATGCCTTATTTGAGATCATGGAGAAGGCACTGTAGTGTAATGGAAAAAGTGTTAAAGTGTTGGGTTTCAGTCTCAGCTCAGCCTCTTAACAGTTATGTGACTTTGGAGAAGCTCTTTAGTATCTTTGAATATCAGTTTTCTCATCTTCAAAGAAAGATTAAGGATTGCTGGAAAGAGTAACATATACATACAGAAAACCTTCTTTCCCGGAGCTCATACATAATACTCATGAGTAGCTGTAATTATAATGCTGTGAAATTTCTCATTCCTAAGTGTATAGCTCAGAGTCTGAAATAAGAACTGAAATCAATTCAAAATAATGCACAACATCCTAGAATGTTAGATTGGGAAGGATTCAGGATTATAAACTTGATACTTTCTAGATGAGGAGACTGGGTCTCAGAGAGATCAGTGACTTACTTGCCTGAGGTTTCAAAGCTAATCAGGATCAGTCTTGGGACTCAAGTCTTGATATTCTGATTCTAATAGCCATTTAAAAAATTCCCAATGACAGCCAACTCTGTGTGGAAGGCTGGTTACTGAGAAGCCTGGTCAGTCTGTGACCCTGGCTTCTGTCCATTACATTCCAGGGGCCAGTGCCCTCTTCCCTTCCTGCTCATGTTGGATGTTATGTATATTGATCTAATCAAAGATATGTGGCAATGAGAGTGAAAATACATTAGGGAGAGGAAAATAAAGAAGTGCTTCATGGCTAGACAGTAAACATCCAACATATTCTTCTTCTATATTTTGAACTGAAGACCTTCTGAGAGAGAGAGAGAAAGACACCATAAAGAGGACTTCAGTGGCAAGACAGCGGGGTCTGCACGCCTTTTCCTTCTACTCCTGCAGTGCTGAGCTTCCTTGGGTTTTCTTGGATGCTTTTTGCTACTTTGCCACTCATCAGGGTCACAGTGGAACTCTCTCACTTGACATCTCAACATGAAATTATTTACAGTGAGCTGATACTCATTGAGTCCAGGCTGCAAGGACAGAGAAGAAACTGACCATCTGACTGTGAGGGTATACTGTTGAGAAGACATATAGCAATGAGTCTAGAATGTAGGCCACTATGATATGTGGCTTTGGAATATTGAATGAAAATGCTCAGATCTCAAATTCTATTTTATTCTAGAGGTTGGGATCAAGCAGTTATAGTAGTATTCCCTAAGAATTTGCATAGATCTTTATTTTTTTCCTTCAATAACTTAAAAGAATTCCACTTGGATAATATTTGGTGTTTCCTAATTTTAGTATTTTATTTTGCATGATAAGGGAGCATACAATACATAGACTTTATTAGTCTTTTGGGTTTTTTCTCCAAACAGGTACCTGAACTCTCACAGTATATTATTTATACAAGTATGTTTATTATCATACAGGCATAGATTAATCTGCTGTTCTTAAAAGCTTGTTAACTGTCCCCCTAATGGACATAGAATCCTTTGAATTACCCTTTGAAACTGCTTTTGCTGTAAATTGCATGGATTTGTAATGATCCATATACCTGACTCATACAATCTCCTACTAAAAGAGTGTTTGTTTCCAAGGAGGTCCCGTGAAGTTCAAGGTAGAGTCTAAAATCATGGGAAGAAATTGGAAAGTAGGACTTTGAATGGCAGCCTGAAGCCCACTGTTTTAAGTAACTAATTCATTCAGCCAAAACATCTGCTATGGTAACACTGAACTATGAATAGGCCACCAAATCTTGACAGTGTTTTTCTTTTTTTCTCAATTTTTATTTTATTTTGGGGGTGGGGTACATGTGTAAGTTTGTTACTTGGGCATATTGCCTGATGCTGAAGTTTGGGGTATGAATGATCCCATTACCCAAGTGCTGACCATAGTTCCCAACACTTAGTTTTTCAGTTCTTCATCTACTGGGTGGAACAACAGGTGTAGTTTTTCTCTCCTTTTTCTTATATTTGACGTTTGTGACCTCTTCCTCCTTTACCAACCACTGAAGAAAAAATCCACTGCCATTGCCTCTTCCTCCTCCTTCTTTTAATTTTTTTGTTTTTTGTTTTTTTAAATCTCAGAAAGGTTTATTATCAACTGAAGGAGATAACACATAGCCTTTGCTGGGGACAGTGGTATGGTAAGTCTGTGCCCCATCCTAGGTGTTGCCACGTGTAGGGCTCTTCACAGGCCCGCCCCCCTTGGGCAGCCTGGTAACGCTGGGCTGGCGCGGCATCCTCTGGCTGGATCCTTCGCGGCTGCTGCGTTCTGCCAGGGCCAGCGCTCCCCCGAGGGCAGTGCTGCCTTTGTGTCTCCCTAGGGTCTCAGGCACGCTCGACGTGGGCAGAGACACGGCCGCAGGGTCCTGGGGCTCACTCGCCAGCCTCTGCCCGGCACACATGGACTTGAGCATCTGGAAGATGGCGAGGGGGGCCACGTTCAGCTTCAGCAGGTCCACCAGGATCTTGAACACATCGGGGTTGATGGCGCTGCCCGCTGCCTGCGCCAGTTCGTAAAGCTCCATCTCCTCGGCGCTCAGCACCTTCTTCCGCCGCAGCGCCAGCTTCTGCCGGGCCGCCTCCAGCCACGGCGGCGGGGCTACCGACCCCGGCCCTGGCTCTGCGCCTTGCATCTTTTAATTTTTTAAAAACTTATTTATTTATTTATTTATTTTTCAGAGATGAAGTCTCACTCTGTTGCCCAGGCTGGAGTGCAGTGGTATGATCATAGCTCACTGCAGCCTCAGACTCCTGGACTCATGCAATCCTCCCGCCTCAGCCTCTCAACCAGCTGGGACTACAGGTGTATGCCACCAAACCTGGCTAGTTTTTTAATTTTTAATTTTGAAGAGACAGGAGTTTCACTATGTTTCCCAAACTGATCTCCAACTCCTGGCCTCAAATGATCCTTCTGCCTTGGCCTCCCAATGTGCTGGGATTATAGGTGTGAGACACTGCACCTAGCCTTTTTTTTTAAGTACATTTTTGTTCAATTAATTTTCCCTGAGAGGTCTTGTTATTTCTTTTACTAATCTTTAGCTCCTGATATCCTTCAATTTTTATTCCATTTTGTAGAGTCATCTTTGTATTTATATCTTTTCTTGTCAGTTGCCCCAAGACTAATCTTTTTTTCCATAATAATTTAGGTGATAAATACCTACTGTTTCATTTAAGCAGAATAAATAGAGTATATTCTCTGAATACTTTTATTTGTGGTGTTTAAAGAATAGATATGCATCTTTAAAGCTTTAAAAACTGTTATTTTTATTTTAAGGTAAAGAACAGATGTTGTAGGGGTCTGGGACATTATTACATTCATGCCTCCACTTTCAGTACTATTAGTATGATTAAAAAAAATATATAAGGGAACAGAGATCTCTATATACCACTCTCTTTACTCTCTAGAGCATCTGTATGACCATAATATGACATTTTAGCTAATAAGCTAGAACTAATTCATTCAAATGAGTGGTACCCCCTTCCAAGTTGTCACCTTGGAAAAATACACATAAATTCCATTAATGCAGTCTTGTCCAAACAACATTTTATAACTCCCTTTTTGAAATAACCTTGAGAACCTGAGAATGTCCTGATTAGTGGCAAATTGATATACTTTTTTGAGGATGGGTTTGTTTTTTGGAATTAGCCAAATGTCATGTAGAAGTAAAATTGGATGGATAATTTAATAGTGGTATAATATCATCAATGATCTAAAAAGAAATGTGACTGTAAATAAATGGCACTGATTCTCAAGGCATTTCATATAGAGTCGTAGGAATTTTTTTTAGCAGTGACAGTGCCATTAGAGTAAGTGGGTCATCAACTAAGGTGACTACTTTGAAGGCTGTTACCTATTTGATAGAAAGCCTCTGGTATGTTTGTTAAATTAAAAATATGGCTTAGACTCACAATTTATAAAACTTCCTTCTTCTTTGTAAAGTCCTGTATTATCTAGCATTAGGTCAAAAAGATCCTTCGTTTGGCCAGAACAAAGGCAACAGTCTCAGCAGGATCAATAACTAGACTCCACCCTTCTTTCAACTTCATAACATGTGATCTTGACTTTCTTTGGCTCTGTGGTTTGCAGGAGTCTTTTTCCTAAATCTTTCATTGTGATGTGTTCCCCTCGAGTTTCTTTATTTCTTGTATTTTTATTTTTCCAAACAAGTATAAAGGATGAAACTGAAGACAGAGAGCCCAATTGAGACAGCTGAGGCAGGGCAGTTTGTCCTGTTGAAAAATAGTTCACTGCAAATGAAACTGCTCTTTTTAAGTATATATGAGATACATATTTTTTCTTTGCAAATGGAAGCTTTGTCAGTCTGCCCAAATTTCTGATAAAAATAAATTATAAATTTATAAAATTATAAATAAAATATAAACATCTTACCAATCTTTTTAGATAAAATACACAATTTTCCTAAATATGTTAACATTACTCTTCTCCCTTGGAGCCACCTCATTTGTGCGACAAACACAGTCTGACATGGTACAAAAGAATTCAGCACTAACTCTTACTGAATTATCACAAATCTTTAATTAAAGGTGTCTACATTTTGAGGATGTTACTGAGGCTTACTTACTAAATACTGTTAACCCACGACTTTGATGTTCATTGAAAAACTTACCACGTCTGGTATCAACCTCATTTCATCTTAATTTTAAACACCTGGGTATTATAACCCAATCCTTGAAATGACGAAAATATCTTTATATTTTGTTTCAAGTTTGCCACCATTTTTCATTCATTTTTTTATATTTTCTCATATGCTCATATAAGACGTTTGCTTTAAGTGGATGGCACAGGCATTTTTGATACGGTATTTGCTGACAACTTGCCTAGATTCAAGGTGCAACATCCTCTAAAAAATGGAGGAAAAAACCCTTAGTCTTTGACTCCTTTAGTATATAAATAACTGCAGGAGAGAAGTATCACAACACACAATTCCATGTGGAAAGTGTATTTGAATCATTGGGATAAGATAGATTTCATTAATAAGACACACAGTCAAAACTGGCATTACATAGACAGAAATAGAATTCCACTTTCCATGCAAACTTTGTTGTATAACCTAGTTGTGTGTCTCACATTTTCAAAATTCTGATGTATTCTATTTTTGAAGAAAACCATGAGTTCTGCCTTTCTGCTGAAAGCATTTATCTTCCCCCTTTGGGTTGTTCGTGATTTGGTTAAGTCATGCATAGCTTGAAAATCTCACGTTTTTGCTTCACTTTAGATAATATTTCTGGATGTTTGGATTAGGATGTCAAAACTCCCTTTGTTCCATTCTCCAAGTTCTAGTTTTAATTCCTTTATCATGCTGCAGTTCGTGTTTATTAGATTTCCCTTGGACCTTTATTCAAAAGGTAATACATCAAATACACAATGTGCCAAGCTTCTCTGCATACTGAAAACAAATATGTGCTTTGGTGTTTAGAACAAGATATAATACGTACATACACAAACATATTTGAAATCTAAATGTCTCCTTCAGGGCTTCCTTTAAAGGAAGTCAGAAAGTAGATCACGGTGGGGATAGAGATGCGGTGGGGGCAGATAAGGAGGAGAAAATTGAACTTTCCAAGATCAGTACTTAACATAAAAATTTCATCACAATCTTTATCATCTTGCAGTGGTTGCAGAAAAGGCCTAGGCTTCCTCCACCTTTACCTTCCTAAAGTCGCCTATTTTACCTTCAAATCTGATGAAGTGTCAAAGTCATTTACCAGTAATGAGTTCTGCTGCAAATTTTATTTTGCTTGGAATTTAATTAATGGGCCAAAGACTTTCCATTGTGATTTGAGCAAATGAATAATAAATCAAGAAAGGAGATTTGTCAAGGAAGGAACATCTGTTTCTTACAAGCGTTACAACATGACTACAGCTTGGCTGTGCATTACCAGCACAAAGACAGTAGGAGTCCTCTCCGGTGGAGCTCTCTTCATTTATTGCTCCACTGAAGGTGAACAGAGAGCACTCTAATGGGCCTCTGGTGTTAATAAAAGCTTTGCGCTTCTCCAGTTTGGCTGTAGCCTCTTCCTTTAGGGTGCTACTGTCCTTAGTACATGGTTTGTTGAGCCACGTCAGGATTCTGCAGTGTCAGTACTTTATTGGATGATTAATAAGGGAAAGACAAATTCATAAGCAGAAACAATATGAAATTACCATCATATTAGTGTTCACTGTCATGCTTTTTATTTTGGGGGGTTTGTAAATGAGATCGTGATTGAAGTTAAGTACTTTGACTTGCACTGTCAAAAAGCAAAAATAGGTCACCCGACCTGTTGGGCTTTGTCTAGTTAACCAATAACAGACTATCTATAGTAGTGTGACTTTTGTAGTAGTGCTGGAGCATGCGTTTGATGGTTAAAAAGAGGAAAAGAATTAGTCTATCCACCAAGATCTGCACCGGTTGGGGAAAAAGAGAGACACGATAGTGCTTTCTCTGCTATTTATTGCTGGAACACACTTTGCTCCTATACACAAAGGAGGTTTAAGTGCCCACTAGGTAGGAATAAATCGCCTTATGAAAATTTGCACTGCAGGGTTCATGATGACCCTTGTTTATAATGTATGCAGAACAGTAATGGGCGCTAATGTCATGCAGAAATAACACTGGGTCCTACGTGTTACCCTTTTTTAAAAACCTTTTTTTGAAGGCTGGTAAGATGATAAGAAGAATTTCCAATTTTATGCTTTTTTAATATGTCTCTGGAATACACCTTAGAGGAATGTTTCCCTGATGAACTGAATATTTCCCGTCATTAGAGTAATGTGAAGCCCCCCAAACGGTTCTTTCCGGCATCCTGCACAACGTTGCTCTGTTTGATATGGCATCCTTCATGCAATTTCTGTCTGAAATAGCTCTATAGAGTGAAAGTAAAAAATAGATCTATCAGCTGTGGGAGAGAAAGACAACAGGAAAACAGAGAAAGGGGTTATTTTGGACAGGATTTAGTAGTACTGAGTCAACATGATGGGCTGGGATTGCTCCCATTTTTCAATGTCTGAGAATCAAGAAAATAAATCTGTCTCAAAAATCCGCATACTGAAAACCCTATTAACAGTTTCCCCCACTCATTCCTTTTAAACATAAAAGAGTAAAATGTTAATTCTTCCCAGGAAAGTGTTGCCAGATGAAATAAAAAACACTTTGTTAAATTTGAATAAATAACTGATTTTTTTTTAGTGTATGTCCCATATATTGCATGAGACATCCTTGTACTAAAAAATAGTCATTATCTATCTGAAATTCAAATTTAACCAGGCAATCTGTATTTTATGTGCTAAATCTGGCTACCTTACTCCAGGGACATTTCACGTTATAAATATCAAAATTTCAAATGACCAACACATTATCTTCTGATTGCAATGACTTAAAACATTGTTAAGACTTGTTTGATTGTTAAGATTTAAAAAATAATTACTGAGTTTGAATAAATAATTTTGAGATACATTTAAAATAGCCATATATCTATTATATAATTTAGAGATTAATGTAAATTACATATTAAAGTAACATATAATACTATTATATGTTACTTTAGAGATTCATATATATGAGTTATATATCATATGATATGTAAAATCATATATATCATATATTCTATATTATAGATATGAATCTCTAAA